CTCTGCATGCTCAGTACTCAAAAGAATACTTCAGGGTTGAGGGGAGAACCACTGACATGTAGGGAGGTGATCACACCATCATCTAGCATTCAAATATTCTCAAGGAAAGCTGTGTTGAAAGTGCCCCCCAAAATCTCCCCCACCCCCAGCTCCCCAATCCAACCATGACCAATTTAGGATGAGAGAACTGGGGGGACTCCTCACCATGGCCACAATATGGGACCTGTTGTGACCCAGGAGAGAACAGCACAGTTCAATGGACAAAGGATGTGGGAACAGCATGCACATGCAACTCTAACTTTCATGGTAGGGACATTAATAAACAGAAGCAGAAGAAAATTCCATTTCAATCGCATACCTATCTATATTTATCATGGGATCAGTTATTTTTTTAATTTAATTTTATTTTTATTTTGGGGTTACATCCAGTGATGCACAGGGGTAAACTCTTGGCTCATGCACTCAGGAATTACTCCTGGCCATGCTGAAGCAACCATATGGGATGCTGGGAATCGAACCCAGGTTGGCCGCAGGCAAGGCAAACGCCCTACTTGCTGTGCTATTGCTTCAGCCCCGTGATCTGCTACTTTTTAATGTAAATATCTGAATGACATTTAAAATGTAAATATTAAAATGTAAAATGTAAAGTAAAAAACTGAACTAAAAGTCACAGTACAGATCTTTGTAGACTAGCTGCATTTCAAGTGTTTGCAAAACACATGTGGCTAGTGGCGATTGTATAGAACAGAGAAGAAACTTTAGAGGATCAGCCAGAGAAGGGACCCTCCCCTCATGCCCCCACTCCCCATCTAGGAAACCAAGAAGTCAGAGAAGGAATCAGACTGGCAAATAGGACAGTGGCCTTGCTTTGAAGTTTTGTTGTTGCTGTTATTGTCGTCACTACTATTTTTGGCTGGGGGTTGGGTGAGTCCAGTGTCCAGTGTCCAGAACCTACTCCCTAGCTTGATGCTTAGTGGGGATTCTTTGAGGTCCCACATGGAGCCAGGGTCCAAATCAGCCATCTGAGCTGATTCTCCACCCCAAGAAATGTGCCATTGTATGGTTTTTAGTTTTGAATTCTGTGCCACACCCAGCAGTGTTTGGGCGACACATGTAGCTTTAGTGCTCTGAGGTTTCTCCTGGAAGGAAAAATGTGGTACCTGGAGGGAAACCCAGAACCTCACACCTGTAAGGCCAGTGCTTTCCATTCCACTGAGCCACAAGCTGTCCCACAGAGCCAGCAAGACCTTTGTTGAAATGCAAATCTCCTGGACATTCTCTTTGTTTGCAAAAGATAAATACTTCCAGCAAGTTCCTGTTGTTATCATCACATGAAGATCAAATTCACTAAAAGGGCTGATGTGCTGATGATATGCTTCCCTCTTCAGTCTAATGTTTCTCGAAATCAGTTTAGGATTCTGGCCTGACTGGGTCACAAGATATTTGTGAGTGGGTAACTGACAGGCAGTTAATACAAGAACTGCAAGAGACTTGTTAAGCTTTTCCACCCAGGACCACTAACCATCAGGCAAAATGAGGGCTGGGGAAAAGCAAACTGTTACTTAGCCTTGGAAAAGACAAAAACAGAAAGTAAAACACACCAGGCAAAGAACATTCTCTGAGAGGAATGAGGAGGAAGGTGTGCACTGGGTCACGGAGATTAATGTTGCCAAGGACGGAGTATCTGATTATTCCCAAATCATACCAAAGGAGGAGAAAAACTTGGATGCAAACTGTTACAACAGACACATCAAAAGAGGCCTTCACCAGGAATGACATGGTCAACATTAGGAACTTAATTCAAGTTCTAACACTCAGAATGCAAGTCCAGCCAGGGAAATCCCAACAACAACAACAAAAAAACTAAAAGTAGGGATGCATACAATTCCAACCACCAAACTCATAATTTACTTGTGAAATTGTATAGGGGGAACTCTTGAGTAAAATATGAACATTTATTATTTTCATATCAAACATTACCTTTTCTATTTTTAATTAAAAATTGAAATTTCAATTAAAATTTTTCATTGTAATTTGACAGCTGAGTTTTTCAGATACTCTTGTAGCACCAATCCCACTACCAGAGTCAACTTCCCTCTACCAGGGTCCCCAGGTTCCCTCCCACCCCCTTCAGCCTGCCACCTTTAACAGACACTTTTTAAAGTTTGGTGGCAGTAGTTTGAAACATTATTTCAGAAGGCACCATCTTTGGGCCAAAGTAAATTTATTATCACGGTCCTCCCATTGTTCATCGATTTGCTCGAGCGGGTCCAGTAACATCTCCATCATGAGACTTGTTGTTACTGTGTTTGGCATATCGAATACGTCACGAGTAGCTTGCCAGGCTCTGCCGTGCGGGCGAGATACTCTCAGTAGCTTGCCGGGCTCTCCGAGATGGGCGGAGGAATAGAACTCCGGTCGACCATGTTGGCCGCTTGTAAGGCAAACGCCCTACCGCTGTGCTATCGCTCCAGCCCAAATTTATTATCATTTCTGATTATTAATAAGTAGGCAGAATGCTTTGAAAAGGAGATATTCACAACTTAAGTATTAATGATTTTGAGGAAAGTATGAAGAATTAACTTTTTAAAGCATTGTGATAAAGTACCCTATGAAGATAAAAATTACTTTGACGTGTAATATGATAATGTGGATGAGTTGTTTCTCAAAACAAAAAGTTAATATTCATATATTAACCTCTCAGTGTTGCCCAAATTACTCATACTTATGATACATATTTATAAACATACATAAAAATTTATCTATATGTGCTTCCATATATATATACATATAAATTATGCATATACGTAATATACACTCTACGAAATTCTATAAAAACCCAGTTTGGGGCCAGAGAGCACAACAGGTAAGGCACTTGCCTTGCAAGCTGCCTGCCTCGATTCAATCCCCGCACCACATATGATCCTGAGCACTGCTATGAGTGATCCCTGAGCAGAGAGCCAGGAGAAGTAAGCCCTGAGCACCACCAGGTGTGGCGCAAAAGCAAAACAAAAACAAACAAAGCTACACAAAGGAAAATTCCATTTTGGATCTCAAAGGGCTAAAAAAGTTTTGTAGTACATAAACAATTCCCAAAAGGGGGAAGAAGGGGAGGGAGAGTGGGACAAGGGTATATTCTTGCAAACTATTCTGTTTTGCAAGAAAGATTCTGGGGAAGCAAACATTCTAAACCCTATCATGAACAATATTCTTAATCATGGTGCCTCAAACAGAATTTTAAGATTATGACAAAGTAAATATTTCCACCAGTCAGAGAAATAGCACAGGGGTTAATGCACATTGTCTGTATGAACCCAACATGGTGGACCCAAACTGAGCTGAGTGGGAACTCAGCTGGTCAGAGTACCTGCAGGGCATATGGGGAGGGGTGAGGGACAGGAGCAAGGGGACCCAGGAGTCCCCAGCACCACAAGTCCAGAACTGCATTAAAATCTGCTGTTGAAATGGAGGGAAACGAACTGTGCTTTGCCAAGAATCATTAGCTAATTCCTTTCAATGTTCTTAAAACAGTCATATTCCCTGGAAAGAGAATAGTCTTCCAGGAAATGAGGAGTAAAATTCCTGGCCTTCCAGTTATTTTAAAGGAAGAATTTAGCAAGGAAACCAGATATAGGAGAAATACACTAATTGCAAAAATCACTCATCTAGAGCGGACTTGATTTTCAGAAGGTAAAAGTTTCAAAAGCCACAAGCAGAAAACTGCTTAGCAAAAGCTAACTTTTTTATTGTTTTGGGGCCACATCTGCTGGTGTTCATGGGTTACTCCTGGCTCAGTGCTCAAGAGTTCTTCTGGCAGGCAGAGTCAGGGACTGAAAACTCCTGCACGCAAAGCATACACTCCACCCTTTGCACGCTCTTTCTGATCTCTAACCTAACATCTTCCTAAGAAAAAGAAAATGAATATTCTCTTTTGCAAGAAAGATACAGCAAGACCAAAATTTTTATACATGGATTAGGGGTAGCAAGTAAGATTTCTTAGTCTAACCTTTGGTAGCATGGGAACGTTTTAAAATAGAAGTATTTCATAGTTTCAAAATGTTAAGTTTAATCAAGGCAGAAAAATACAATATTAAATGTAAACAGAACTATAAGCTGTAATAATGTAACTGGTAAAATAAGTCAAGAAACTTAAATCCAGTCATTTTTTGTTGTTGTTGTTGTTGTTTTGTTTTAGTGCCAAACTTGGTGATGCTTGGGGTTTTATTCCTGGCTCTGTACTCAGGGATCACTCCTGGTGGTGCTTGGGGAATCATAGGGGAAGCCAGTTGGCCACATGCAAGGCAAATGCCCTACCTGCTATACTACCACTCTGGCCCAAATCCAATGGCTTTTAAACATTATACTGTGAGTGTAGAGCTGCAGTGAGAAATGTATTCCAAAAATAAAAGAGCTAAGATAGCTTGAACTTGACTCAGTTACTGACAGTCAGAATACAGAACCATAAATTAAAAAAAATACCATTTATGCATATTGTAAGCTAATGCAACTAAATTATTTTAATGTTTTTGGCTTAGGAACCACACCCAGGGGACCATACCCATAAGCCAGGGCTTATTCCTGGCAGTGCTCAGGAGACTAGATGGGGTCCTGGGGATTGAACCCAGGACAGTCGGATGCAAAACAAGCGTCTTACCTACTGTATCTTCTCTCTGGCCCCAGAATATAAATATTTTAATGGTTTAGAGGATCACTAAGATCATTCGACATTTTTCTTTCTTTTTTAATTTATTTATTGAATCACCGTGAGAACAGTTACAAAGCTTTCAGGTTTAAGTCTCTGTCATACAATGATCAAACACTCATTTCTTCACCATTGCATATTTTTCCACCACCAAGGACCCCCATATACCCCCCATGCCACCCCTCAACATTTTTCATTGCAAGAGGAAGTCCGATAAATCTACATAAGCCACTCAACTGAAAAAATAAATCAATGCACAAGCCCCAAGCAGAATCGGGGACTATCTCAGTGGACTTACTTCTTGGCAGTACTGTAGGATGCCCTCCTTGGTGCCAATGCAGGTTTTGGTCCCCGAGGGATCAGGCTCCCACTTGCCATTCTGTACGTTCATGTGCATGTTCAGCTTGCCACAAAACATGGCCACCTGGGGCTCTGCAAGCAGGCCGGCATTGCTATCAGTGGGCACCTGAAAAAGAAAAATCACAAAACACATTTTGGTTAGTTACAGAAATCCACATGTCCGTGGTGGAGGATACAGGAAGGGCTGGAAAGAGGGCCAGGGAATTGGGCAACAATAGCAATGCAGTTCTTGCCAAGTCTTGATGATGAATTAGCCGGGTCTGCCCCATCGCTTTGGGATGTGTGTCCCGACCAGGCATAATGCAGCGCTGTTTTCACATGGAAATAGAGACATGAGCTCTGCAGAGGGATTTACATCTTGATGTTTGCTCCGCCCCCTCCCATGTCCCCACCTTTCCCCCCATGACAGATTTCTGCAGTGTCTATTGAAAGGTTCTGACAGAAAAATAAGCCTTTCTTTGAACTAAATGGGATCACTCAGAAGGAGGCTGTGTGTGCATAAAACCTTCCAGCTAGCTCGGAACAAGAAACATGCCAAGTCTCTGCCTGAAGTCCAGGTCTGAGAGTAGACGGCCACTGTAAAAGGGCAATGGACACAGAGGATATCATTAGTGATATAAAACTAGTATATGCCTATGTTTGACATACTACATAATTTTTTGTTGTTTGCTTTTGTTTGCTTGGGGGTAACACTCAGCGGTGATCAGTGGTTAGTTGCTCCTGGCTCTGCACTTAGGAATTACTCCTGGTGTGCTCAAGGGACCATACGGGATGCCTGGGATGAAACCTGGGTTGTCCCCACACATGGCAAACAGCCTACCCACTGTACTGTAGCTCCGCCCCTAGCCCCTATACTGCCAGGTGTTTAAACAGGAAAATGTGCATTTGGATTTTCCATCCATAAGAATGGCCAAATACACTGTTGATTCCGAATGGTTTTTCATAGGACATTACCTTGTTATCACTCAGTTCTTAAGAGAATGGTAAGGATGCTACTGTTGCATGTCCCCAAGCAGACTGGAGGCAATAAGGCCAAGGACTCCTGCAGAGAGCCTACTGTTTCTGCAGGTGGTAATCTCTCAAGCGGACTTAGTTAATATTCCTGAGCTCCGTTTCCAGCAAAGTAACACTGAAAATGGTATCGTCTTTCTTTCACACTCTTCTGAGTACAGGGATTTCCTACTGGTAAATATGTCTAAATGGAGCAATGGAAGTTCTGAAATAACCTGCATTCAACAGCTGATATCTCAAAACTTAAAAAAAATGTTTTTGCTTTGTTTTGTTTTAAAGAAGAAACTCTAGCATGAAACTTGGCTGAGGCACAGACTTGAATGCAAAAGCTGCTGGCAAAATCTCTCAGGTTTTAGATTACATGTTCCACATTCCTAGTTCTGTTTTGTAAGGTCGAGTTAACAAGAGTCTACCCAACATTGCCAGATGTAACACATGGCAGCTGAGGCCCTGGTCTGGGTCTCTTTCCAACCTCTGTCATTTCTAAGCTCGAGCCTCACAAGGCAGCCATCAAACCGCACCTGACAGTGTGGCATAAGAGTTGATCCCCTACCACCTAATTTCATAAGGAGCCGTGGAGTCAGACAGAAGTGAGGACTTCCTCTTTGCAAGAAAGTAAAGTCAGACCGGAAGTGGACATGCTTTTCCAAGTGCCTCCAAGAGCGCAGATGCAAAGAGCCCTCTGGGAACTTTGTTAGTACATGTAAAACCAAGTAGAAGGCTTTCCTGCACAAATGCTGTGTGGGAAATAATTTTCCTGCTCGGAAGAGCAAGCGGGCACACACACAGACACACACACACACACACACACACACACACACACACACACACACTCTTAGGTACCAATGCTGAATTCTCTAGTGCTTGGAGCTTCCCACAGGTCAGACCAGCAGTGGGTGTGGCTTTCCAAGCAGGCAGCCGCTAATGCAGCCGCCAGTTAATCTCCCGCTCCATATACCATGCGATGCTCATCTTGGCCTCTTATACTGAACTGTCATCAGGGCACCTGGCTACCCCAACCACATTAGTCCAATAGTCCATTAGCCCCTACTCCCATCGACATTCCTCCCAAGCCCACAAAAGTAACGGTGAACCCAAGAAACAATAGAACTCCCATCAAAAAATAACAGTAAGTCCAGGCCAAAAACACATTCCCCGAATCAGGGTAAGAGACTCCACATGATTACACAGGAACACTAAGTTGGAAGGGAATGTCCTTGATGGGGAGAGAGTCCATTACCAACTGAGCTCCCTCAGAGTTCCCCCTGGCAGTTACGGAAAGGACATTGATGGTGTGCTGGAAAGAACCACCTCCAGGCTACCACAGGCACCGTGGGGAAACCGCCATTTTCAAACTCAATTTTGAGTCTCCCATTCATCAGTAACTACAAGAAAGCAGCAGAACCAGAATGCATCACACACGTAAATGTCACAGCTTTCCAGAGGAATTACAAGAAAACCCGACGCCTTGAGCTTAAAAATCAGAGCCCAAATACCATCAACTTGATTGAAATAGCTAGCAAGAGAACATTGGCATGGAAGTCAAATAATAAGCAGAAACCTAGAGACAAGGCCTGCTATTAGATGCCATAAGGGATAGAAAATATATTCTGTGTAAAATATGACATCTGTCCTCAAAGAATGTGTAGTCCAGCAACCATATCTCTGTCATTTTCTCCATGGTATTTTAAGCTGCTCAACCGTTAAACTCTCTCTGGTCCCAGAAATTTCCAATCTTTGAAGAATGTGGGTGCTGTAGATCTGCACAAAGAGATCAATGACCTTTCCCTCTCAACCAACGTCCTCTCAGTCACGTCCTCTAACTCCTGTCTCTCCTGGCCACATTTCCCTCTACTTCTAGCTCTTTACCATTTTGTCCGTTTTCCAACACAGAGACTTATCATGACATCTTCTTCCCTCAAGACAAATCCAAGTGCCAATTTCTCTCTCCCGTGGGAGCTGGCCTCCATGAAGGCCCTTTGAGAATGCCTGTCTCCTGGGAGTTGGGCCAGATCGTGCCATCCACATTATGTCAGGCTTTGTGGAACTCAGAGAACAGAAAGAATGATACCATGTCCAAAGCAAAGTCAAAAAGGGTAGCTGGCTTCTCCCTAGCTCTTGGGAATCACGACGGAGAGGTCAGCTACCCATCTGATGTGAGGACCCTCCCTCAAGCAGCCCCGTCACAGGACTGGGACCACCATCGGTGTCTGATTCTGAGGAGGGAGACAGGAAGCATCACAGGGCCTGAGGCAGGCCCTCATGTGACCCCAGTCTTGACTGACAAGACTAAAACTTCTAGAGAGATTTAGAGTCAGAATCACCCGGAAAAGTCTCCCCAATTCATGACCCACAAATACTCAGATAATAAGTGTTATTGTTCCCTTAAAGTCCAACTCTTGAGAAGGCAGCTGGAATAGAGAAGGGATCACTAAGAAAATGATGGCCTGAGGAACAGGTCAGATGGGAGATGTATGCAGAAAGTAGTTAAAGGACCAAACATCATAACCTCTCAGTGTCTATATTGCAAACCATAATGCCCAAATGGAGAGAGAAAGTATGGAGTATATTGCCTGCCATGGAGTCAGGGGGAGGGTGGGAAAGGGGGGTATACCGGAAATATTGGTGGTGGGGAATGTGTACTGGTGGAGGGATGGGTGTTTGATCATTGTGTGATTGTAACCCAGACATGAAAGCTTGTAACTATCTCAAGCTTAATTATAAAATTTTTAAAAAATGAAGTCCAACCCTTATCTGAACCCTTATTGGGTACTGGGCCCTTTTTAGAAAGAAAAAAAATATTACTCAGTGCCTCCTTAGAATTCTACTTTTTACAGAGAACATACAAAAATGTTTCTCAACTGCATCCAAGGCTATTACCCCACCCCATCATTTCAGATCCCCCAACCCCCATGGTGGTATTGCCACTTTAGGAAAGACTATTCTAAATCCAAATTTTTTCCACCCCCCTCCCCCCAAAATTAAATTTTATTAAAGCCACTGTGACTTACAGAAATTCATTGTTGGGGTTCTTGCATACAATGTTCCATGACTAATTTTACCACCAGGATCAGGAACCAGTTTAAGACAGGGTTGTTATGAGAGGCCTCAAGTTCAATCTCCAGTGCCTCATGAAATTTTAAAAAAAGAAAAAAACAGAAAGGTGGAGATAGTAAAATAAAATTTTTAAAAAGTGGGTAATAGTTGAAACTCTGATGTCCTGAACAGTTAGGGCAAAGCATTCTGCTAAAAATGATAAAAATAGCTGTTCTGAGTGTCCTGATCCCATCCGACTTGAGAAGGCAACTAAATCACAAAATCCAACTTCTGAGGGAGAACTTCTTTTTGAAACCAGAACCAAGTTTGCAATAAGATTAGAGCAATTAGTTGGAGACAGAAACTGAACCAGAAGCTCTTCTATTTTTAAGAAGGCCCACCTGCAAAGATTTTCTTGTTTTAAATAACATAACCCTGGCTTAGTTCATTAAAACAAGACAAACAACCCACAGGATCCTCACCTGCATCAACAAACTCACTGGGAACACAAAGGCAGGTTGCTAAGAGTGACACTCCACACTCAGCTGGCCTCCTGCCAGAAGAGGAAAAATCCTCGCCAGCCATTTTCTATTTTACTGGCTCTGGAAAGTTCCTTTGGGATTTGCCCAGCCAGGGCAGGTGGTCACACATGTAACTGGGAGCAGTCCAGGGTCCAAGAGGCTTACTCAAATCCATTTTTTCAATGAAGCGTCTAAGAGAAAAGCTTCATAAATGGGTTAGATTCTTGACTTGTCAATACAGAAACTCAGAAATGAAATCTTTGGGTGCTAGATTAATTATATACTGACAGCGAAAACGTCTACTCTGCCAAAGTCATTCTCCAAAGAGAATTGTCCTCCACTCTTCTGTTCTTTGTTTTGCTTTGTGGGCACACCCAGCAGTGCTCAGGGTCTAACATACAAGGCAATTACCCTACCCTCTGTATGGATTGCTCTGGCCCACTTTAAAAAAAAAAAAAGCAAAACCAAAACACTTCTATTCTCAGTAGAAAAAATATATATACAAACACTTGGGGGAGATGGGAAATATAACAACTGA